CAAAACCCCAACCACCGAAGGAAAGCCTCTGGAGTCCCAGACAGCGCCCTCCTCAGCCTCGCCGTTTCCTGAAACGCGAAAATTCAGCAGTATCTTTGGCAACACTTTATCACAACCTTAATTTAAAGAATAAAAATAAAATCGATCCACGTCTATATACAGTATGTGATTGCGCAGTCGGGGGCGGGGGTCCGGCTCTGGGCCCATGCAGACGCCGCGGCCGGGCCGGGTGGCGTTAAGGCAGAGGGCGCGGGGCAGCGAAGCGGGGGGCTGGGCGGGGCTCAGTGCAATGCCCGAGGGGCTCCGGGTGAGTGGCTGGCGGGCAGCCTGGTCCTGCCAGAGTCCCGAGGGCTCTGTCCCCCAAATCTGGTGGCCTCTGCTGGCCAGGATGACATCAGTGATTTGAGTGGGTCTTATTGCGAGGGGCCTGGGGGTGGAAGGGCACTCGCCCCGGGGCCTCTCTGGAACGACGGCCGGTGCGAGTGCCCTGCCTGACCTGGCAGTCCTCTCTGGAGCAGCTCGCCCTGTGACATCGGGGTGCAAACAGGCCAGCACCACCCGCCCCGGGCCTGCCCCTTCTGCTGGCCCAGAGGGGGGATCCTGAGACATTTGGGGGGCTGATGGGCTGGAGGGTGGGGGGGGACAAAAAGTATCTGGTAGAAACAATATGAAACATTCCGCCTTCTTACAAGCTTCCCTTTAAAGACAAAAGGATGAGACAGTTGTCACAGACAGGGTGCCAGGCCACCAAGAGGGGTGGGGATGCAGGGACGCCCCTCCGCCCCAACCAGGCATCGACAGGAGGAGCCTCAGGTCTGCGGAGCGTCTATGTACAGGCCCCGCTAGACTGCGTGGGCCGGAGGGAGTTGGAGGGCACCTGGCATCGTCCCCTCCCCAACCCCGGCCCTGTCCGTGGCCTGCGGCTCGGTCTGCACCGGGCCTTTGGAAGCCCGAGGTTGGGGAGAGGCAAATGCCATCCCTCGGGTTACAGTCAGTGCCTTTGAGTAAAAAGGGGGTGTGGGGGGAGGCTAAGGCCCTGGAGCAGGGACCCCCGCAGCAGGGCAGCCCTGTTGGAGGGCAGGTCCTGGGGGACGGGAGGGACATGGGGCTGGGGGACTGGTTAGTCTGGCTGGTTGGAAGGCCAGCCCTCTCTCGGGCCGTCCCTGAGCTAGGGAATAAGGGAGGTGGGTGCCCAGGACAGAGATGGCCACCATATGGCTGCAGAGACATCTCCCAACCAAGACGGGAAGTGGGCAGAGCAGGAGGCAGGCAGAGCCGCAGGACCCAGGCCCCGCAGCCTGCCCTCAGTGTGGACCCCCATAGCGGGCAGACACCTGGGGGGTCTCTGGTCCCTTCCGATGGCTTCCTGACCACCCCCCTCAGCCTTGGGGAACAGACGTGGATTCTACGTTTGCGGTGGGTTTTTTATTTTATTATTTTGTACAAAAATAAATTGAGTTTTAGGAATTTCTCTCTCTCTCTCTCTCTCTCTCTCTCTTTTTTCAACTTTTCATAGAAGTTGGTTGCAACTTGTAAACATGTTTTTAAATTAAGAGTTAAGATAAAGTACCCGTTCCATTACAAAGTGCCAAGACTTCTAAATGTGGTTGGTGGCCTTTTTCTTTCTTTCTTCCTCTCCGTTTTGTAAAATCTTGGGTTTTTATTGCTTTTGTGACACTGGAACCCCTGCCCTGCCCTTGCTCCCGGTGCCCGCCTCAGGAGGCCCTGGCTCCCTCGGCTCTCAGCGCCCGTGCCGCTGCCCGCTCCTCTGAGGAAAGTATATTATATATATATATATGTCTATATATATCTATATATAAATTTTGTTTTTTAAGGAGGAAAAGAAAATCTAAAAAGTGCTTTAAAAACTTGGGAGAAGGGCGGGGGCGGGGGGGGGGGGGGGAGGGTCGAGACAAGTTTTGAATCTCCAAACATGGGGTTCTGGGGGCCTGGGGCGTCCCCGAGGGGTGGACCCCGGGCCACCGGCTCTGAGCCTAAAGGAAGGTGGCAGAGGCCGGGAGCTCCAGGCACCCCCGCCCCAGGCCTGGAAATAAATAGATCCGAGTCTCGAGGCCAGGACGTGCGGAGCTGCGAGGCCACAGGCGGGGTGGGAGGCGGGGGCGCTGGGGACAGCGAGGGGGAGTCCCCCCCTTGGTAAGTGCCCTGAGGAAGGAGGGTGGGGAGGGGACGGGCCATTTAACGTCCGCTCAGAGCAGACAGAAATCATTTAAGGTCTCGTCTGAAAGACGCTAGAACCCCGCGCGGGGGGCAGAGGACAGCTGGCCCGGCCCCAGCTCGCCGCCCGCCTGGCCAGAGCCGGCCGCCCCCCGCCGTGGGCAGGTGGGCGCCCCGCGGCCGGCGGGTGGGGGCAGAGGGAGGCGAAGCTGGCCGGCGGGCGGCCCGCGTGTCTGGAGGGGGTCTGCGTGGGGGTCGGGGTCGGCGGTTCGTTCTCTTTTTTGGTTTTAGGCGAGTCCAGCTGTGAAGTTACCGTCGGTGGTGGCCCCGGGGCCGCCTCCGCTGTCGTCTCCACCGCCAGCGCCCGCTACATTCAACCGGCCCGAGCTGTCGGGGCTGGCCTCGTCCTCGTCCTCGTCCTGGTCCTTAAAGTGCTTCTCCTGGCCGTTGCGCCGGGCGTCGGGGGAGCCGGGCGCAGCGGGGGCGCCGGGGGGCGCGGCGGGCCCAGGGGCCGGGGGCTCGGGGCCGCCCCGCACGCGGGGCTTGCGGCCTCGGCGCGAGGGGACGCCGTTGCAGCCGTCCTTCTTGAGGTGCCTGTGCAGGTGGTCGGAGCGCACGAAGGTCTTGCAGCAGCTGTCGCACTGGTAGGGCCGCAGCCCCGTGTGCACGCGCATGTGGTTCTTGAGGTCGTAGTTGTGCGCGAAGGCGGCGCCGCACTGCTGGCACAGGTAGGGCTTCTCCCCCGTGTGCTTCCGCATGTGCACCTTGAGCTTGTCCTGCCTGCGGGCGGGCGGCACGGGGCAGGTCAGCGGCTGCTCCCACCCACCCCCAGCACGGCCCCCAGCTGGGAAAGCCGGCCACACCCGCGGAATGACCAGCTCCCCGAGATGCCCACACCCAAGTGGGGACAGGCCCCAGCCAAGCGGGAGCAGCGGGTGTGCAGGGCGGTCTGCGAGGCCAGCGGGCGCCCGGGGCTCGAGCGGGGCCTCCTCCCGGCTGCTGGGGGGGGGGGGCAAGGGGGCCCGGGGGGGGGGGGGGGGGGGGGGGCAGCGAGTGGCCGCTGCATTCACCCCACAGGAGCCGAAAACAGCACAGTGAGCCGGGTGGCCCTGCCCTCCCGTTGCCACCCCCTGGGCACTGTTGACAGACAGGGGACCCAAAGTTCTGATCTAAGTACTCAAAAGTCCTGCATCCCGAGAAATCCCTCAGTCCTGCACACACAGGGGCGGCTGGTCCCTGCATAACTAAGGCCCCACCTCAACGGCCAGGCCCTGCCCACTCTCCCAACCCTCTGGCACCTGGGCACCCTGGCTGTCACGCCCCAGCCCTCCCAGGGCCTCTGCATGCCCAGTCCTCACTGCCAGGCTCCCTCGCCATCACCATCCCGCACTCCACGTGGGGCTGTGAGCAGGGACAGCGGGGACCAAGTGTGACCCCAGGGCCTCTCCCCGTGCCACACGCCCCAGTGAGCAACGAGGACCCATCTCAGCACAAAGCTGGTCCCCACATAGACCTGAGGTGACAATGGCCCAGAGACCTCCCCCCTGCTCCACCCTAGAGGGCCGGCACACGGGGCTGCCAAGTCCAGACTCCTACTCACCCCTCAAGGCCTCCGGTGGATGTCCCCTGCCTGCCCCTCTGCCTCTCCCAGCCCCCAAGGTCCGGCTCCTCCAGGCCCAAGACCTTCCCCTGGCACTGCCTGCAGACCTGGGCCGCTGCTCGCTCCGACCACCTGTGGCTCTCGGCTGCCCCAAGGGTCAGGACCGGTCCCTACACCACACTCCTGTCCCTCGCCATTTCTGTAGCCCTGGAGCCAGCAGGACTCAGCCCACCTGTGTTGCCAGTCCTCAGGCATCAGGCCGCTCCCTCCATCCACAAACACCCCGCTGCAGTCTCCCAGGTGCCCTGCCCAGCCCTGGCGCAGGCTTGAGGCCCAGAGGGCACAGCACTACACACAGCCCGGCTTAGGCTGGGAGGCTCAGAGAGGGGAAGTGACGTGCCCAGGGTTGCACAGCGGGCCAGGGGCCGAGCAGAGGCAGGGTGGGGGTGGAGGCAGCCCAGTTTCATCACCCCGCGCCCCGGCCTGGGTAATTATAGCCCGGCTGCCACAGGCCCTGCTTACTCAACGCTCTGCTCTGACTCAGAGGGGCCCCTGGGCTCCCAGGCCTGGGTGGGAGGACCCGGGGCCCTGGGGAGGGGGATAAAGCGGAAGCCAGCTGCGCGAGGGAGAAGGGGCCTCACGGGGACCTGCGGTGCCTCAGTTTCCCTACACTCGGCTGGGGTCGGCCCCAGTGGAGGCAGGACAGACTGAGACAGCCTGGCCTCCAGAGCCCCAGGCCCGGAGGTGGGTCGGACACTGGCCCGGTATGATGACCACCCTGAGTGGCAGGCGGGCCCTTGGCCTCTGTGGAGCTCAGAAACCCCTGGACAGAGCTCACAGCCACCTCAGGAACCCTGCCTGGGCAGGAAGGGTCCCAGGCTGAGGACGGGCTCACAGGGCAGGAGCTGGGCTGCCTCAGCGGCGCCCTTTGCCCCCACCTGGCACTGCAGACTGGGCCCCACCCGCCTCTCCTGGCCTGCTGGGGAGGGGGCCAAGGGTGCTGGGGAGGGGTCAGCCCCGGTTCCTGTCCCAGTGGGGTGGGGCTGGGAAGCTGGGACAATGGCCTCTTTCTTTGCCTTGGTAGGCGTGGCGGGGGAACCCCATGGCGGGTGGGGGGCAGGGGGTGACGCTGAGTCACCCTGCCTGGCCGGGCCCCTGCCTGCCAGCCCTACCGCCCCCACTGGTCTGGCCTGCCTTGGTTCCACACAGCCCGGCCGGCCACCTCTGACCTCCAAGACTACCCCCAGCCACCTGCCCCCAGCCTGGCCTTGAGCTCCACCCGAGGACTGAGCCCCTGGCTCTGTCCAGGCCAAGTCAGCCGCAGGCCCTTTGCACTGGCTGTCTCTGCCTGACCACCATTTCCAGGGCTCCTCCCTGTGCCCCGTGAGTCTCGGTGCCCATGCCTCAGTCCGCCCGCTGCCCTGGCTGCCCCACAGGGACTGTGCCTGCTCCACGCTGTGAACCCTTGGGCCTGATCAGGGCTGCATACAGAAAGCGCCTGACAAACGTGGGCTAAATGAGATGATTACCCGCTCTACAGACAGCTCACTCCCCAAGAGCAGCCCATCCTCCCAAGGCAGAGTCAGGGAGCCCTCCTTCCACAGAGAAGGGCCACCCCAAACAGAAGAGCCGGTCAGGTCCGCGCCTGGGCTGTGCGCCGGGCTGTGCTGCTGCGGGCCGCACTCAGGCCCTTTCACTTGGCTTTGAGGCAGAGCCTTGCTAAGTCGCTCAAACCGGCCTCAGACTGGGGATCCTCCTGCCTCAGCCTCCCTAGGCCGCTGGGCAGACAGGAGTAGCCAGCATGCCTGGCTCATGCTGTCTGTCTGACCAGGTCGTCTGTCTGGTGCCTGGGCTGCCCCCAGATGAAGCTGGAGCAACTGAGGTGGGGGATGGGCACGGAGGGGGCGGGGCGGGGCGGCTCACCTGGTGAAGCGGACCTTGCAGATGCTGCACTCGTAGGGCTTCTCGCCCGTGTGGGTGCGGATGTGCCGCGGCAGCTTGCCGGCGCCCTGGATGACCTTCTCGCAGATGGGGCACTTCTGGAAGGCCTTGGCGCGGATCTTCTTCTCCCCCTTCTGAGACCAGGCGGGGTAGACGTCCCCCTCGTGGGCGCTGCTGAAGTACTTCAGGTAGTAGTCCATGACGCCCTTGTCGTCCGCCCGCGACTCCTCGTCGCTGTCCCCGGTCCGGCCCACCGAGGACATCATCTGCTGCAGCAGCGTGCTGGCCGCCAGCCCGTCCACGTCAGGCGCGTCCCCGTCCTCGCCCTCGGCTGCGCCCGACAGGAAGCCCGGAGAGTCGCCCGGCTCGGGGGCGGCCTCCGACAGCGAGGCCGCCTCCTCCTCCCCACCCCGGCTGTAGTGGCCGTTCTGCGTGGTGGCCGGGGGCGCCGCCGGTGGAGGAAAGAGACCCCCGGTGGGGGCGTCCTCATCCCGCTCTGGCCACAGGCCCGGGTTGCTGTCGCCCTCGTCCCCGTCTCCGGCCGGGGGCCGCTCGGCCGGGGGCCCTGGTCCGTAGAAGTCCAGGCCGTTGCAGTCACCGGCGGCCACGGCGGCCACGGCAGCGGCCACGGCCTCCTTGGTGGCATCCAGGTCATCCTCGGAGGCCCCGAAGGCCGGCCAGGGGAAGGCGGCGGCGGCGGCAGGGGGCAGGCTGTTCATGGGGTTGCTCTGGAAGAACTCCAGGTACTCCTTGGCCCGCAGCAGGTTGCGCTGGCCCACCTGGTCCACCAGCTCCAGCTGGCCCGCATCGGCGCCCGCATCCGCCGCCAGGATCTGCCGGTCCAGGAGGTCGGCGCACACGTGGCTCACGGCGGGGATCTCCAGCAGGCGGGCGGCGCTGAGGATGTCGCCCACGTTGGCCGTGCTGACCGTGAGCGTGGCCGTGTAGGCGAAGTCCATGAGCGCGGTGAGCGCCTCGGCGCTGACGAAGTCGATCTCGTACACGTTCTGCTGGTCCACGACCGCGCCCGACGTGAACAGCTTCTTGAAGTACTGGCTGCAGGCGGCCAGCACGGAGCGGTGCGTGGGGAACTCGCGGCCCTCCACCAGGATGACCACGTCGCACAGCAGGCCCTGCGTGCGCTGCTCATTCAGCCCGCTCAGGATGTCACTGCTGTGGTCGGGGAACGGGATCCCGATGGGGCCGTCCACGCCGCCGGCCATCTTCCGCGTGAGACCTGCAGAGGGAAGAAGGGGCTCATGAGCGGGGGCCTGGGACCCCAGCTATAGCACCTGGTCTCACCCCACCTGGTCTCCTTGGCCATGCGTGAAGGCACTCGGGGCTCCTGAGCTGTCTCACTGACGTGACACTGTGCTGGCCAGACCTGTGCCCAGCCTGGAGGACAGGAGGCCTGCCTGAGGGGCACGGAGGTCTCGGCACACATGCACGAGCTGGGTTCCCACGAGTCGGAGGCCAGCAGCCACCCACTGCACACCCCTGCCCCGGGGGAGTGAGAAGGCAGCTGGGGAACCCCAGGGAGGGCAGGCCACGTCTGGACTCAGACCCAGGAACACGGCCTCTCTGCTGCCCCAAGACCTGCAAGAGTGAGGCCAAAACTTGGCACCCAGGCTGTGCCCCGGACAGGGTCAAGGGCACCGTGGACGGGCCCTATTGCAGCAGGGCCAGGGACTGCTGGAACGTCTTCCTGCCTCGTGAGCCCCCAGGACGGGCTCAGCCCTGGCAGTGAGTAATAGGGAAAACCAGGCACCGCCCAGGCCGTCCCCTAAGGAGTGGCAGGGGGCCGGGGGCTCTGTCCACCTCCAGTCCCACAGCTAGCTCTGGCAGGCCTTCTGTCCAGCTGTGCTGTCCAGCCCAGGGGAGCACCCTGGCATACCCTGGGCCTCACTGTCCCCATCTGTCAAATGGGCAGAGGTCTCTGGAGGGGCTGGCCCTGGGGAGACTGTCCGTCCCGCCCCCTCTTCCCCACCCCTCCTCCTTCCGCCTTCCCCTGGGCCGTGACTCACCCGCCCACTCGGGCACTTGTGCAACCCTCTGGCTCCTGTCCCCACCCTCCACCCTCTCCAGGGAGCCCGGCTGCCCCACGCCACCCAGCACAGCCCACATTCCTCCAGGTCCTCTGGGCCCAGCAGCTCCCAGGCCAGAACCCCTGGATGTCACCCCGAGGACAGGGCCAAGAGGCTCTTCCCCAGGCTCCTGAGGACCAAGACCCCCACCCTATCTCCCAGCCCTGTGGCCGGGCCCAGCCCTTACCCCTGTGAACCTGGTGAGGCCAGCAAGCAAGGCCCAGAGCTGGCCCAGCAAAACCCAAAGCCACGGCCGCTCTCCCCCCAAGGGTGGCCCTTGGCGCAGGGTCCAGCCAGGGCCACAAGAGGCCTTTGTGCGGCTGCACGCTTCCTGGGACTCGCGGCCCCTCGGCCACCCGCCCACCCTTTCCCGCTGCACCAGCTGCTCACTCCCCGTCCCTGGCCTGGGGGGAGGCTCAATGGCTGCTGGGAGTGGGGGGCTGGGGCGACCCTACAGGCGGCGTGGCGGGAAGCCTCCCAGGAGCCCCCTCCAGTGGCTTCCACCCCCTGCCACCATCTGCCGTCTGGCCCCGGGCCTTGGGCAGCGTGTGGGCAGATGGGGCTCTGGATCAGACAGCCCTAGCCCTCCCCGCCCGACATGGGAGGGACGGGACCTCTGACCCAGGCCACCAACGCCCCAAGATGGCCACCCTGGTCCGCTCTCCCCTCAGGTGACCTGGGGTCCCCTCGGGAATGGCTTAGAGGTGTCTCCAGGGGCCTCAAGGCTGGGACCCGAAATGGTCCAAGTGACTCAGCCCTCGCGGTGGCTGCCCCACCCCCTCCGGCAAAACCACCCTGGCGTCCCACCAGGCGCCGGGCTCTGAGGGCCAGGGGCTGCCACAGCCCTATTTTAAGTGCTAAGATGCCCGGACTCCAGGCCACCATGGGGCCTAGCTGGGCCAGAGGGTCCGTGCCTCTGCCCTCTCCCTCCCAGATGTCACCAGAGACCATCTCACCCCAGGGCCAGGCCTGGGCAGACACCACACAGGAAAGCACCCCGGGTGCCCAGGCCCTCACTCAACAGAGGAGGAAACCCAGACCCAGAGAAGACCAGAGTCCTACCAAGGGCACCCGGCAAGGCTGGCCACAGGGGCTGGCCCCAGCCCAGAACCCCAGGCGCCCCGGCCCTGGAGTCCACACTGGCTGAGCAGACACCTGACCCACGCCCACTCCAGGAACACCAACCACCTGCCGCCACACCCCAGGCCACCACCCCCACCTGGGCCTCTGGGGGCCTCTCCCTGAGAACAAGGCCCAAGACCCTGCTTTGAAGCAGGAGGAAACTGAGGGCCCGGCCCAAGCCCCTGGGGTCCCAGGATCACCAAGCACCTGTGCGCCTCCGACCTTCTGCACCTGCCACTCCTCCCTGGGGGTCTAGGGTTCCCCTCCATGTAGGTGACCCAGCTGTCACCCGACAGAGTAGGTGCCATGCCTTCTCCCCAGGAAGCCCACCCCACACTGGCCCAGACCCACCCTCGGGGCCACCAGTCATAGCAGCTCCTCCCCCAGGTCCCTGTGGGGTTTCCGGGGCTGCTGGGTGCTGACTTGGCGGGCGGGCGGGCGGCAGGCCCCAGCAGGCCCCTCCAGAACTGGAGCCGCACCTGGCTCCCCAGCCTGGCCTCCTCAAGGGGCACACAGTAGGGCCACAGCACCCGGCCCCGCCCACCCCTCCAACCTGGGTCACCCCTGGCTTCTGGTGTCGAGGCAGGGATCCAGGCTGCCTGGGAGCCCTCCCTGCGCCCTCAACCTTCGGGAACTAAGCAGCGCCTCCGCCCCGTCCCCAACCCTGAGAAGCTGGGGTGATGGACCCTGCTGAGGACAGGGGCAGTGGGGTCACCTAGGAAGGACCCCAGATCACCAGGGAACAGGCTGAGCAAAACGGGGCAGGGGCGGCAGGAAGGGGCTTGCCCCCCCAAGGTCACACGGCAGGCTGGGGTGGGGGCACCCTCCCCCCACGCTGCTCAGGAAGGGGCCAGGGGGCCGGCGGGGGGGCTGAGCAGGTGATTGCCATCAGCTGCCTTCCTGGAGGGCACTTCCGGGGCAGTGAAGCTCAGGGAGGGGACGGCCCCCTCCCCACCCAGGGAGGGAAGAGGAGGACAGTCAAGGGGAGGGCCAGCAGGTTCAGGTCGACCCCCTGCAACCACCTGACCTTGTACAAGAGGCACCACTCTCAGAGCCTCAGTCTCCTGGGGAGGGGGCAGTATTAAGGGCCCCTTTACAGCCAGGGAGCACAAGGACAGAGCCCCACACACGTCCATGGGCAAGGTCTGCCTGAGGACCCAGTGCATACCACACGGGGCCCAGAAGGCCGGCCAGCCAGGCCGTCAAACCCCACAACGTCACCCTGCTGCTGGCGGAGGAAGAGGGTGGGAGAGCCTGAGTGGGAAACCAGAGGGCACAACCAGACCCAGAGAGGGTGGGCAGCAGCCCAAGGTCACACAGCAAGTCGGCAGGCAGGTGTGGCTGCCAGGCCCCGCCCAGCAGCCCCTGCCCTCCCAGTCAGGAAGCCTGTGTGGCAAGGTTGGTCCAGAGGGTTACCCCGCCCAGACCTGGTGCCAATTCCCGCCTGGCCCGGGCTTCATGGGACAGGAATGCAGGGTCCTGAACAAGGGGCACCAACAGCCGGACGGCCGCCAGCCCGCCCCCTGCCCACCTGTCCTCCTGCCCTCACAGGCAGGCAGGCCTCCCCCAGGCCAGGCAGGGAGCAGGCAGGCCCTCGGCCATTTTACATGTCCATTTATTGCCCTAAATGGGGAGGGGCTTCCTGCCCAGGCCTTAAAGGGCCAGAGGAAGGAAAGCAGCTGCCTGGTGGGAAGTGTGTGGGTGTGGATAGGGATGGAGACAAGGAGGCCCTGGGGACCCCAGGTGACCCCTCAGTCCTGGATGGGGCTGCAGCCCACCCTGTTCCACACTCAGTGTAGTCACAGGCCAGAAGCCGAGTCCAGAGGCTGGTTCCAAGACAGCATCAGGAAACTGGCCGTCCACAATGGAGGTGGGGAGGGAATGAGCTTCCTGTCACCAGGGGTAAGCAGGACCTGACTCCTAGCATCCCAGCTCTGTCCACCTCGTCCTGCCCGAGGCTGCCTGCACCTGCTACCCAAGATGCCCAAGAGTGGCCAGAGTGACCTGGAAGGACCTGCTCTTCTCCACCGCTCCACCTCTCCTGGAGGCACACCCGCCTGACACCTGGGCCATGTGCAGCACCCCACCCAGCCTGGAAGCCCGGGGTGAAGGGACCCTGGCACCCAGTGGCCTGCCTGCAGGATCTGGACAGAGCCCTCCTGACAGACATCCTGATAGGAGATGGTACTGGACCTTGTTTTCCAGTCAAACCAGAAAGGCGTGGGTGGGACGCTTCCAACGAGTGGCCATAGCTGTCCACAGCCCGCTGGGGGGACAGATGGAGGGGCTGGGCCTTTGTCCACAGGCCTCATGAGTGCCAGATTCTCTGCAGGGCATCTCCTATGCCACGGGGCTCTGAATTCGGGTCTTGTGGGCCTCTCAACAGAGTCCTGTCCAGGTCGACCCTCACCACCCCAGGAGGGAGGGTCTGCAATTACTGCCCCATTTTGCAAGTAGAAAACAGGCACAGAGAGGGAAAGGGACTTGCCCAGGGTCAACAGCAAAGCTGGAATTTGAACACAGGCCATCTAACTGACTAGTCCTGCCTAACTAGTCCTCCCAGGTCTCCTCATTTCCCTTCCTCCAACACAGCCCCAGGTACCACCATGGCATGAACCCCCCACACACCCTGAGGCCAAAGATTCAGGTTGGCCTCTTCTCAGGCCCCTCAGAGATCCTGCAATGGCACAGAGAGAGGTCACCTGGGGCCTGGGGACAGCTGACACCCGCCAACTCAGGGTGCCAGGTCTAACCCCTCCAGTCCAGCACAGGGGGGGGCTCCCCAAGGCCCTGACACAGGGCAGCAGTTGCTCAACACTTGCGCCTGCATAGGACGATACCCAGGGTGAAGATGCTCTCCCTGTCCCACTGATGGGTCGCTAAGGCAGGCAGAGAGCAAGGGACCAGCCTGGGTGGGGTCAGGACCAACCCGCACGGCCTGCTCTCCAGGGCCACAGGAAGGCAGTTCTGGTCTATCAGGTGCGCGTGGCCCAAGCTAACTGTCAGGGGTACTGAGGGTGTCTCTGGTGGCCAAAGCCCACTCCCAATACCCAGCAGATCCCTAGGTGCCCTAAGCAGACCCAGCTGCTTTCTCCACAAGGGGTAAGGGGAGGTCAGAGGGACCTGCAGACGCCACTTGGGGAACCCTAAGACAATGCTGCTGTCACAGGACAACCACGGGCCTGGGGGCCTGTCCAAGGTCACAGAACAAGTGGGCCAGCATTCCATTCCCAGACCACCCCCTGCACAGCCAGTCTGCCTCACAGGGCCTGGCCAGGAGTTCTGGCTCTAGAGCAGCCACTTGGGTTGCCTCTGGTACAAACCTCAAAATCCAGAGCCCTGTCCGCCTCACAGGCCAAAGTGTGCGATTGGAGTGCTACAGCTAAGCAGGGGTAGGGGTCCCCTGTGCACATGTCACACTTAAAAGTGTCTACCATAGGAGAATGGCAGGCAGGAGGACTGGAGCCTGTACTGTGTGACCTCAAGAACCTCAATGGCCCTCTCTGAGCCTCAATGTCATCCTTGGGCGAAGCTGTGGTGACAGTAGTGAGGGCTCTACCTCCAACCTCTCTCACACTCTGGGAGACACAGGTGAGCAGGTGCCCGGTTGTGACACAGGGAATAGAGACACTTGGGAAAGGCCCCATGCTGAGAAACAGAACCAAAAGGGTCAGACCCAGCACTGGCTGGGTGACCTTGGGCTGCTCTCGGTCTCCCTGCGCCTCCACATCCTCTGCCCCAGTTCAGGTGCTGCCTCCCCTCTGGACCTCAGTTTCCTCCTATAGCAGCAGGGACGGCGACCAGGTCAATCCAGCTACACATCCGATGGCCTCAAAGAACAGAACAGACCAAAACCAACCAGGACGGGCCAAAGCCTAAGGACCCCTCCCTGCTGGACCTGGGCCACCTGCCTCCACAGGCCTCAAGTCTCCCCAAGGAGCAGGGGCCATCAGCACCCCAACATCGGCTCTTCCTCCCTCTGCCAAGAGTTGCACGGCTCCCAGCCCCGGCCAGGGTGCTGACTGGCCACCACACAGCCAATCAGAACTGAATAATAAATACCCCCCAAGTGACCCACGAATTAAAATTTCAGTGTCCCCGTTGGCTCCTCTTTCCTTGGTGAGGCTTGGCTTTCCCGGCTGCGGCTCTACCCCCTCCCCCAGGCTCGTCTCCACAGCGATGGCTGGCGGTAAACAGAGCCCCGAGCCCAGCCTTAGGTGCCAGGCCCAGCCAGGCCCAGCGCTGCAGGGCCCCTCGGGGGTGGCCCTCAGGGGAAATGGTCCCTGCCTGGAGCCCTACACCGGCAGGCAGCAGTGGCCAGACCTGGGCCCCTGCCCCAGCCTGGGCTCCAGGGACCTCTCCCAGGCCAGGCCTGCCAATAGGAAGTGACCGGTTGGTGGCGGGGAGGCCCCCCCAGTGTGGGAGCGGCACACTCAGGGTTACGCCCTGGCCCTGTCGGGAGTGGGGGGGCTGACATGGAATCCCGGACGCCCTCTCCAGCCGGCTCCGGGAGGCAGCTGGCAGGGAGGAGGAGGGGGTGGCGGGCAAGCCACCAGCCACCCATGGGTGACCCTGGTGGGCCCCTCTGCGGGAAGGGGCATCCACACCTCTGACTTCCGCCGACTGGCTAGGGGGAGAGGGGAGCTGCTTGCCTCCCCGCCAACTCGTGGCTGCATTCCGCCAGCAATTAATAGGAGCCGACTGGGTGCCTGGGCCTGCTTGGATAGCAGCGTCCTGCTGCGGCCCTGGGCTGCTGGGCCTGTTGGCCGGCGCGGGCAGGCCGTGCCTCCCAGGCCCCGCAGAGGCCCGGCCCCGGGGACCGCACGGGCAGCGGAGCTCGGCTGAGCCCCCTGCCAGGCTCGCAACCCCGGGCCGCGAAGGGGCCGCGAAGGGGCCGGGAGGGGGAGGGGGCCGATCGCACTCGCTCGCCCCTCCTGCCCAGGCGCCGGGCTCGCACGTGGTGCTGGCGTCAAGGGGAGGGGGGTCCGGCCGGAGGAGACGGGGTCACGCGCTCCGGGGGCCGGGGCTGTCCTCCGCGGGCCGGGGCGCGCGGCGCGAGGACCAGGCGGGGCGCTGGAAGGGCCTCCACCCCGCCGCGGCCCCCAGGCCCGGGCCCGCGCGCGCTCCTACCTCCTTCCCGGGCAGCGCGAGGGGCCCGGCCCCGGCGGCGGCGGCGGCGGCGGCGGCTGCGGCTGGGCTGACTCCCCGAGGCCCGGGAGGCGGCAGTGCGCCTGGCCCCGCGCCACCCCCCGCCGCCGGCGGCCAATCCCCACCCGGGCTGGGGGGAGGGCGATGCAAATTACCCCGGATCTGGGCCCGCCCGCCCGCCTCCCCCGCGCCCGGCCGGCCAGCGCCAGGCCGCGCATCCCCGGGCTCGCCTGCGCCTCACGGCCGCCGGCCGCTGCCCTCCCCGGGGAGCGCCCTCCGGGAGGGGCCGGTGCCCGGCGGGGGGCCGCAGGGAGGGGGCTGGGCACTAGTTACACAACAGGCGGGAGGGGCTGGCGGGCGAGGAGGGGGCGGCCGCGGCCGCGCAGCCGGAAGCTGGGACCGCCACCGGCCCCCGGCGAGGCAGCCCGCACGCCCCGCCCCGTCCGGACCCCGCCCCACGCCGCGCCACCGTGAGCGCCCATTGGTTCTCCGGCCCGCCGTTCACCGCCCCTCCTCCGCACCGTCCCTCCCCGTGTGCCGCCGCGGGCCGCTGGCGCGGAGAACCCTGGGACTTGCAGTGCGCGCCGCTTGCCACCTGCGGACAGTGAGGGACTGGGGAACTACGACGCCCAGAGGGCCCAGCGGCCGCGCCCGCCCACCCCACCCCTTCCCTCTCCTTTGCAAAGCCCCCCTCCCTGTTTTTTCAGCCCCCTCCCCCCCATCCCCCATGGAGCTCCATCCTGGCCAACTCCAACGTATGCACGCAGCACCGAATAGGCCCCCGGGGGGCGAGAGCGCCCCCAGTACATGGCTGCAAAGTTAGCACGCGACGCGCCCCCCTATCACCCCACGCCGGCTCCCCCCACCCTCAGTGCAGCCTCGCTTCCCCTCCCCCGCTCCCCGCGCGCCCGGGAGCCCCGAAAAGCCATGCACGGTTGGGGGGGGGGGGTCTGGCGCACAAGCCCATGCACTTCGACCCCAATCCCCTCTACCGGGCGGCGCCCCTTCCCCGCTCTTGGGATCATGGGCGCCTCCAGCCTCCGGGCTGCTGCCAAGCACCCCCTCCTCTGAAACTTAGGGGACGTCCCCGGATCTCCCGTGGCCCAGAGCGCAGAGTGGGCGCAGCGCCCCCGGCCCGTCCCCGCCCTGCACCCCGTGTCCCGGGCCTCGCCGGGCGCTGACTTACCTCGCGGGGCCGGGCCGGGGCCGGGCCGGGGCGCGCGGGGCCGGGGCCCGGAGTCGGGACTGGGCGCCCTCGGCCGCTGGCCTCCCGGGTCCGCGGCACTCGCGCTGCCCTCGCTCGCGCTGCCCGCGTCGCTCCTCGCTCCGGTGGCGGCGGCGGCGTCGTCACTGCCCCTACAGTAACTGTACAGTACAGCCAAAGCCCCGTATGATGCTCGCGACTCCCTTCCTGGTTTCTCCGAGGGCAAGAGGGGTCCTCCCTTGTCTTAAAGGTGCCGCAGCCGCCGGCCCCCCCACGCCCAGCCCGCCCCCCCCAGCCCGGCCTCGGAGGCCAGAACAGGCTCGGCAGGTCGGCTCTTGCCACGTCCCTGCCCTCCCGTGGGGCTTCGCCCGCTGCGCCGGGGAGACCGGGCTGTTATTAGGTTTTGGCAAGTTGGGGGGGGTCCGGCCCGCCCTGGCGCGCCCCCCCCTCCTTTGACCTCTCCGCCCCGCTGCGCGGCGCAGTGCCAGCTTGCCAGCTTATCTGGCTCCAGAGCTCCCCGGGGCGCGGGGGGAGCGGCCCCCCGGGTGCAGGGGGTGGGGGCCTCCAGATAAACAGGCCCCCAGCCTCGGCGCAGGGCGGGGTGCGGGGGGGCTCGGGCTTTGCCCCCGACGCCTGGGGCGTGGCAGGATGGCAGCGGGGGCGGGGAGTGCTGTGCGCACTGCGAGGTCCTACGCGGGCGTGGGTCGCGCTGCCCCGGCAGCTGGGGGTGGGCGGCGCGGGAGCGGGTGGGGACCCTCGGGGCCAGGCGCCTGCCCTCCCGAGGCCTCAATTTGCCCAGCCGGCGCAAAAGATTCGGGGGCGGGCTTTCCAATGACAGCGCGGGTGCGCTGGGCTCCCGGGTCCCTCAATGAAACAGCCAACCTGCCCTCCTGCGATTATATAAAGGAGTCGCCTCCACCCGCTGCGCCAGGGGCGTAGCGGGGGAAGGGGTTGGCGAGGGGCGGGGAGGGCGGTTGTTTTCCCGGCTTCCCGAGTTCCCCCACCCAGCTGCGGGCCCCTGGGCGGGACGGGGAGCCGGCCCGGGACGCCTGGGTCCTGCGGGCAGCTCCCGCAAAGATCTGCGTGGCTTGCGGGGGACGGAGGTGGGGAGTGGGGAGGCGTTGGCTCAGCCCAACTTTTTTTCCCTGTCCATTTCTCCCACTTCCTCCCGGTCGTGGGAGAGGTCCGGCGGAGGAGGGGGAGGGCGAGGAGGGGACAAGCGGTGAGAACAGCGTGACCCGGCCCAGCCGGCCTCCGGCTGCATACAGTAGGCGCCCGGGAAGGGCTGGCTGGGTGCGATCAGCTACCGGTGGCGGGACGGCGGCGGGACGGAGGTGACTCCAAACCTCAGTTTCCCCTTCCGCATCCCCTGGGAGGGAAAATGTGGACACCCGCTTTCTCCGCCTTCAGTGAACGCTTGTCCAGTGACTGGATCGCGCGAGGGTCCGTTGGCCTCCATGCTAACATGTAATCCCGTTGTCATTAGCCTTATTTCTTCTTATTATTGTTATTATAACCACCACTACCTTACAGGCAGGAAACTACCGCTGGCCTGCCTGAAATTTACCCAGTCTGTTCTGACTTCAAAGCCTCGCCTCCCCCCAACACACACTTTATTGCTTTTTCGCACAACATATTAAAAGCGCCTTTCAACACCCAAACGGGTTGAATTGGCTTTTGTAATAATAATTTGGCTTCAAGGGGAAACCCAGGAGGCCCCCAGAGGGGAAGTAACAGCCCCAGGACTTGCAGCCTGAAACCAGCCAAGGAGGTGGGAAGGGACCTAGGGAGGGGCCACGTGGGTCCAGGGTGAGGGTGGAACCCAGGAACTTTGCTCGGCGGACCTGGGAAATAAACCCTCTTCCTTAAACCGCCAGGTCGTATCTCCGCCCCCCCGAGCAGGAGGCCACTGGAAGCCCCACTCGCAGGACCCGCGCTGCGGTGGGCTGCCCTCCAGGGCCTAAGCCCCGCCCCTGCTCCAGAGCCGCGGTGACTCGGTTTCCCCCGATGTACCGCCATCCACAGATGTCCTTCGGGAAAGGGGATAGAAAAGCCTGGAGCAATTCACGGCCAACAACCTCACTCAGAAGGGCCAGGGAGTTCGCAGGGAAGATTGGCATTTAATCTAATCCTTATTACCGCCCTGAGAAAGAGCAAGGAGGAGGATTTCCATCTTACATTTGAGGAAACAGAGACCCAGAGAGGGACAATGAGCACGAATGTCAACTGCAGCCTCCTTTAGCTCTGGTCCCCAGAGCAGAAAAGTCGCTCCCCGACACCGTGCCTACCCTACCCTGTGGTGAGGCAGGAGGGAGGGAGGCACCGATTTGTCCTCACCCTATTGTCAAGTGGCTTCTTCCTCTCCCCCCACCTGCCATCCCGCAGAAAAAAGGCACAGTGGCCTGCTGGTGTCCTCTTAGCTACGCTGAGTCTAAGGCAGGAGAATTACTTGAACCCAGGAGTTCAAGGCCAGCCTGGGCAACACAGGGACCCCTTCTCAGGGGAGAAAAAAAAAATCTAGTTTGATACTATTTTTTAAAAAGTATAAGAGATTGAGTTTCGCGCAGGGCCCAGCGGTGCCTGTCTGTCATCTCAGCTCTTTGGGAGTTACAGGCAGGAGATGGCAAGTTCAAGGCCAGCCTGGAAAATTTAGTGAGACCCTGTCTCAAAAGAATTAAAGAGGGAAAAAGTAAAGGTTGGTGTGTAGCTCAGTGATACAGACACACCCCGTTACCCCTGCCAGTCCAATCCCCAGTACCAGAAAAATAAATAAATAAGTAAATGATTTAATTACTGTGCGGCCTTGGACAGGTTACTTAGCCTTTCTGATCCTTTGAATCCTTTGGAGAGAGTAGATTGAAGAGACTTCCTAGTGCTGTAACAAGAGTAGAAACGATGGTGACGGTAACAGCAGTATCTGCACAAGGAACAGCCTTGTAGGTGACAGATGTCATTCTGTCATTATTATTTGGGTCCTGCCCTAGGATGGCCATGCAGGCTACGGTAGCTCATCAGTGGAGGTCTGCCCTTTTGGGTGTGCAGCGAACACTGCACACAGACTCAGGGAAGGGAAGGAACTTGCAGACACACCGGGAGTCCTTGAGGAAAGGAACCGGTCTTCCATCAGCTAGACTGTGCGGAAAACTTACAGGACGTCGTCGTTTTTCTGTTTTGTTTTGTTTGCGGTGCTGGGGATCGAACCCAGGGCCTTGTGCCTGGGAGGCAGGCCCTCTACCCGCTGAGCTGTGTCCCCACCTCCTACAGAATGTTTTAAACAATCCTTGCAGCCACCAGGGTGCTTCCAGGGGGCCGCTGGAGCCTGGCGGGGGGCAGGGTGAGGTCCAGCTCCCGCTGTCCTCTTTGGATTTTTTGGATTTTGTGACCTGTACATATTCATCATAATAAAATCGAAAAACCTTTAGAGCACCCTGACTTAACTCTTCAGCCTCCAGGGACCCCGTCACGAGAGCAAAGAGGAGGCCTGGAAGGGAGAGGATATTTGCGAATCCTATATCTGATGGGGTCCGCGCCCTGCTACCCAGGAGCGTTTAAAGCTCTACAACAAAAAGATGGTGATTACAAGTGGGTCAAGGACTCGAGTAGACATTTCTCAACCAGGAATATGCCGGGGCTCGGCTGCACCGACCACCAGGGACCACGCGGCTGGCAACCATGGTCCCACTCACCCAGCTCCTCCACGGCCCAGGGCACAGATGACGGGGAGCCTGCGCCTGGGAAGCGGCCTGGGGCCCCTGGGAAGGTGGAGGGAGCAGGCGCCATGGGACCCAGAGTGCCACACCTAAGTAAGCACCGGCAGGAGTAGGCCAGCTGTCCACACACACAGGGCGAGGGCCACAGCAGGGCCATTCGCCATGATCACAAAGGGAATCGACTCAAATGTGGACAACTAACGCACGGGTGCACAGGGTGGCCCTTGCCACCCGGAGAGTCCTCGGCCACGAGCAGGAGCAAGGGGACACCACAGCAGTGTGGAGGGACCTGAGGACCTAGTGCTCAGTGAGAGCCAGACACGCAAGGCCACAGAGGGTGACCCAGTTGCAGGGGACATCCAGGACAGGAGAGTCTACAGACAGGAAGTGGATTTGTAGATTCAGATTCGTGGGTTCAGGGGCTGGGAGGGGTCAGGGCTTCTTTTTGGGTCCTGAGAATGTCCTGGAATATAGTAGAAACACTAAGCTGTACCCTTTAAAGGGTGAGCCAGGGGCTGGGGCTGGGGCTCAGGGGTGGAGCACTTGCCTAGCATGTGCGAGGCACTGGGTTCAATCCTTGGCACCACATTAAAAAAAAAAAAAAAAAGAATAAATAAAAAAAGTTGTATTTATTTATTTATTTTTTTAATGAGCCAAGCCTGTCATCCCAGCCCCCAGAGACTGAGACAGGAGGACCACAAGTTCAAGTCCAGCCTCAGCAACTTAGCAAGACCCTGTATCTCAGGTAAAGTACCCCTGGGTTCAATCCCCAGTTCCAAAAAAAAAAAAAAACAACAACAACAACACATAACTAAATAAGAAATAGACAAGTGAATTCCATGGCACACCAATTATATATATATATATATAATATATGCACACATACATACATACACACACACACACATAAAACCATTAGTTGATGGAGAGGAAGCATTTTTTAGTGTACAAAGTTCATGTCTTCATGGTCTTTTTATTTATTTTCTTTGGGGAGGATACCAGGGATGGAACTCAGAGGCATTTGGCCATGGAGCCCCATCCCAGCCCTATTCTGCATTTTATTTAGAGACAGGGCCTCACTGAGTTGCTTAGCACCTTGCTGTTGCTGAGGCTGCCTTTGAACTTGCCATTCTCCTGTGTCAACCTCCTGAGCCACTGGGATTACAGGCACCAGTGCTTTTGGCTTCATGGTCTTTTTAATCTTCAAAATGCCCAGGGTATTTTTAAAATATTTTTTAGTTGTCAATGGGCCTTTATTTGTTTATATGTGGTGCTGAGAATCGAACCCAGGGCCTCCCACATGCCAGGGAAGTACCCCTACCACTGAGCCCGAACTCC